GAGATGGCATCTGGACTTTGCCTAGATCTGTACTAGCTCTAGCCGGGGTGAAACCTCCAATCTGCATGAAGTTCCTGTCGAGGGCTACAAACACTAAAGTAGATAAGTACTTGGGATCCTAGATATGCTGGGGGTAAAAATTAATTTGTATTAGAACGAGTATCGCCTTCATAATCCAAAAAGTGTATTAATACATAAGAGAAGAAATTTATGTTTATACAATATGGATGCATCTCAACAGCACTTCGCAATACATATTCAATACTACATGCTAGTTTTGAAGGATACAATGTGGGGGAGGAAATCGTGTGAGCATGTTTGTCTTTGCTTATTTTATCTTTCGGTATTTTGTCCAGATTTGTCCAGATTGACCAAGAAAATGTGTATAGTTACACCCTTCTTAAAGTCGAAATAGCAAGTTTCTCCTAGATTTACAGTAAAGCCAAACAAGTTTTACAGATATTTTCTTGGATAGTCTTAGAACATGAGTATGAAAAACTAATTAATTGAAAAAAATGATTTTTCTTGTAAAGTAGGACCCAAAAACTCGAAAACAAGTCCTGACCAAGTCTTCGTATTGTTATCCATCAAAAAAAATTTGTTGTATATAAATCAATGAATACAGTCCTCCACGATCATGGGGCCGCCTATTATTATGAGCGTGTTTGTCAAGTTTAAACGCTATAAAGTAGTTAAAAACTTGCTTCTCTCGACAATATGTTCAATCCTTCATTTTACCGTCAAGAGAAAAAAATAATAATAATACAAAAAGGGAAAAGCCAAGCATGTTAATATACTTTATTCTAGATTTTATTTTTCATATATCTAGCCTCTTGATAACTACTCATAGCAATTTTCATAATACTTACAAATAGTGTTGACTCGACGACTTTTACACAGTTCCATTGGTGATGAAAAAATGAATGTCGTAATCAAGATGGAACCTATCGAGTAGTTTGGAGGTTTGTATATTATTAAGAGTGGAAAAATACTAATTTTCCGTCATTATGAAAAATATCATAGAAAAATCTTGTCCATGATTGTGATTATTTAGCACAGGAGACCAAAACATTGGTTTTGGCTTTGTGAAAGCCAACTTTTAATTAATTTTTT